TAGAAGGGAAAGATATGGAGGCAGTGACAGATTTTACTTTCTTGGGCTCCATGATCACTGCAGATGGTGAAAGCAGCCACAAAATTAAAAGATGCCTGTTTCTTGGAAGGAAAGCGATGACAAACCTAGACAGCAACTTAAAAACCAAAGACATTGCCTTGCCGACAAAGGTCCACATAGTCAAAGCTATGGTTTTTCCAGTAGCAATGTATGGAAGTGAGAGCTGAACCATAAAGAAGGCTGACCGCCAAAGAATTGATGCTTTTGAATTGTGGTGCTGGAGAAGCCTCTTAAGAGTCCCCTGGACTGCAAAGAGAACAAACCTATCCATTCTGAAGGAAATCAACCCCGAGTGCTCACTGGAAGGACAGATCCTGAAGTTGAGGCTCCAGTACTTTGGCCATCTCATAAGAAGAGAAGACTCCCTGGAAAAGACCCTGATGTTGGGAAAGTGTGAAGGCAAGAGGAGAAGGGGACGACAGAGGACGAGATGGATGGACAGTGTCATTGAAGCGACCAACGTGAATTTGACCCAACTCTGGGAGGCAGTGGAAGACAGGAGGGCCTGGCATGCTTTGATCCATGCGGTCACGAAGAGTCGGACATGACTTAACAACTAAACAACAACAATAAAAATAGTTGGGAACAGATAGCCCGATACCCTTGCACAAAGAAGCTAAAATGATGCCAGGTGAGCATCACTGGAGGGGAGAAAAAGATAACAAAGCCTCATGGAGAAAATACACTGAAGACATGGACTAGCCTCCATAGACTTTAGTTTGGTACGGCTGAGTGAGCAAATATTTTTCTCTGTGTGTGTTCTTGACACATCTTATTTTAAATTTTTTTTATATTCCATGCTTTTTTAGTAAGGCTAAAGGTTGCCATATTTTTCTGTGTATAAAATGACAATTTTTCCTAAAATGGTTAGAGGAGAAATTGAGGGTCATTTTATACACGGAAGGAGGCAAAGGCGAAGGAGAAGCCTTGCTTGTCCGCTTCTCAGGGCTGCCCATTGACTGCTGCCGCTGCCTCCAGATCACCCCCTCTAGCACCACTTCAGGCAGCGGACAAGGTGGTGAGCTCTGGCACTGGATGAGGCGATTGGGTGGCAGCGGCAGCAGCAGCAGGAGGAGGCGAAGGGGGAGGAGGAGCCAAACTGAGCCGCCCCTCACAGCTGCCCACTGACTAATCTGGGTCAAAATTGGGGGTCACCTTATACATTGGGGGATCATATACACGGAAGAATATGGTATTTACAATTATAATGCCCAGGGGTACAAAAATTGGGGGTCACCTTATACATTGGGGATCATATACACAGAAGAATATGGTATTTACAATTATAATGCCTTCCATAATATTTTTCCTGTTTTAATGTGCCTTTTTAGGCTGCTAAGCCCTTATATTTTCTGATTTACCGTATTTTTTGCTCCATAAGATGCACTTCCCCCAAAAAAATGTAGGGGGGGAAGTCTGTGTGTCTTATGGACTGAAGGCAGCAATTTCGTCGCTGCTGGCCCCGTGGGGGGAACGTCGGAAGGGTCCAGGTGAGCCTTCCAGGACCCTTGCGAGGCTCCCCCCCCCCCATGGAGCCAGCGCCGGCGAAATCACCAGCTTCCAGGTGGGGGGAACATCGCAAGGGTCCTGGAAGCTCACTCAGACCCTTGTGACGCTCCTCCCACCCCCACACGGGACCAGCGCTGGCGAAATCACCAGGTTCTCAGAGTGTTTGGAGGCTTGGGGAGCCTCCAAACACTCCCAGAAGCTGGCGATTTTACCCCCCTGGCCCCATGGGGGGGTGGGGGAGCGTGGCAAGGGTCCGAGGGAGCCTCCCAGGATCCTTGGCACGCTCCTCCCACCCCTGCATGGGGCCAGCACTGGCAAAATCGCCAGTTTTTGGGAGTCTTGAGGCTTGGGAAGCCTCTGAAGAGTCCCAGAAGGTGGTGATTTTGCCCCCTCTGACCCCTGAGGGGGGCAGGGTGAGTCTCTAAAGCATCTTGGGACACACGCTAGGACCCGTTGAAGGCTGACGCTGCCCCCCCCCCCCGGGCCCGAGGGGGGGGGATGACCAGC